TATACCTATAGAATTTTTAAAATAATGAGAATTTAACAAAAATTTTACAGATTGTTTTTATATATGTTGAAAGACTTAAGACAAAAGCTGGAGTCGATTCACTGAAGCAAACCAAAGTTATAAGGATTTTAATTTGAATTTTTTGGTTAGATTTGGCCATAGAATTCAAAAATTCTCAGAAAAAAAGCAACAGAAGCATTTCTGTGCTCTAGTTCTGAATAAATAATAACATTCTGCGCAATCCTTATTACTCAAACTATATGAGAAGAGCATATTTGTCAAAATCAATTCTTTAACTTTTTACTACTATTGTAGGTACCAAACATCCTTAACGAGATATTATTGAATTAATATGAAAATTATTGAACGTTTGTGTGGCAAGTTACACATACATGCCATGTTAGCAAAAATTTCATATTGGAAGTAACATACTAGAGATTTAGTTTTCTTATTAATACGAATCTTTTTTTTATTTTTATGCAGGGCCGATGTGTAAAGCGCAACAAGCAAATAAATGTGGGGGAGAAGGAAGAGTTAGTGAAAGCGTCTCATTCCTTTGTATCTCCATTGTGGGCTGCCGGGAGACCATATCGTCGAGCTTACGAAAGATTTTTGCAGAATTATGGAACCTTTTACAGATTCATCCTTGATGGCTTGAAAGAAGAATAAGGTAAACGTACCAGTGGCTGAACGTGTATCTATAGCTGAACAAGTACACAAAGATTTATTTTTAAATGATTTTTTTCATAATATTATAATTTAATTGTAATCTTTAAATATTTTTACAATTAAATTTTGATATTATAATAAAAAAAGTATTCGAGATTAATAAATTTTGTGTACATGTTCAGACATAGATACATGTTCAGCCACTGGTACGTTTACCTTACTATCAAAGACTTCATCTCGAGCATGCTGCACATCAGTCACATGTGCATATTCGCAAATACAGAGCTGAGAATGTACCTCAAGCTTTTCGTAAGTACAGTACCAATGAGATTCATTTGCACTAAGAAAGTTTTTTTTTTAGCTAAGGGGATCATTTAAATTAACTCTAGATATACACACTGGGGACCCTGGGACCCCAGTGAAACTTTCTCGGTTTGGCATTTCTGAAATTGGAAGGGGAGGGATTTGGGATATTGATGTAAAAAAAGTTTGGGATCTCCTCAGTAGGAAGACGTGTTGGCGAGCGGCAATTGAGCAATGAACAGTTGAAGTGAATGTGGGGTTCCTGGGACTGCTTGCAAGTTTTGTTAAAAAATT